CCCACAGTTTGTTTTTGACATTTGCCAGAATCTTTCTTCTACAAGCAAGACTCACAAGAAATGTCTGGCTCATAAAGAATAATGGCGATCTATTGATAGTACATTACTTATTAAACCAAAAGAGCATTACTAAACCGACATATATATATATCAGTATAGTCAGACACCAGCATATCAGAGGCACTGTGGGTCATTTTGAAGCAGCAATTGTCGTGAACATGAGTTGTTGGACAGGAATCAGCAGACAGCTTACAGGAGGCATGCTGGGGCAGGACCACAGAGGCTCCGCCTCACCTCTGAGACACCCTGAGGGAGCTCCTCTACTCCGACGAAAACAAGTCGAGTCCACCTCGGAAAACACTCACACTGCTTTTCACTACGATGTCTTTAGAGCTAGCTATACTGTAGATACCAACACTATGAACTCTCACCTATAGAACTCTCTTCACTGGCATGCTCCCATGGCTCATGATTAGAAAATTACAAAGATGGCTCTTGCAAAAAATATGAGCTTTGTTCACTTTTGCCACATTGCAACACAACATCAAATAGGGCACTGCATTTACCAATAATATGCATGCAAGCGCACAATCATTATGGTGGATTACTTTGGCACGTGAATGGTATATTTAATTTAATGTTTAACTTACAGATGTCAAAATAAACAACAGTTACAGGCGAGGATAGTGAATAAATAAAAATGTGGAATGAAAGTCCAGGAACATGGGAGGAATCCCAAGATATCCAAATGAGAATTACAATTATTTTGTATCCTGTGCAACTCGCATGGTGTGTGTGAATGTTGGCATGTTGTGTAGAGCCCTTTAAGCAGTGATTAAACATGCAGAAAGAAAACTGAAAAGAAAAGAGAGAAACAGAGAAATGATACTCCACTTCCTGAAAAAAAAAAAAAAAAGGTTCCACTTAAGCCCTTTCCCGCATAGCGTTGAGTTTTTTGTTGTATGACTTTGGGCCAAACAGGCAAAGAATCACATCGCTGCACCGCATTGACTTGATCAACCGCTGATACCACTGTGACCTGTAGAGCAGCTGATGTCATCCTCTATTCTTAAATTTAAAAGCAATCATGACATCGGGAATTTTTTTTTGTATTTCATTTATAATTACCCTACATGTTTTCTTTTATTTGAAGCAGTGTGTCGAGTGTTTTAAACTAAACAGTGTATTCTGTGACCTGCTGCTTTCTACAAAGACAAACTGTGGAATGTGGGCTTCTCCATGTTGAAGAGGGAACATCACAACACAGATAATGTGATTACAATGTTCTGCTTAGTCTTTTTAGTAGTAACTTCCCATGCTTATTTTTACAAATCTTCCCTTGGACCTTAAATCAAATCAACCTGGTGGCACTGCAATGTTCACACAGGATGAACAAGGTTTCATGTAGAAGGTTTAAGTAATGTGGGTTATGAGGGCCACTGCTGTTATTTTTGGCCTGTGGCTGCCTGGGGACCGAGGTTTATGACAGGGTTCTCCAGCTCTGTGCCCTAGTTTTCACTTCTGAAATTCTCATGATCCCAGCTAAAAGAAGTACACAGAGAAAATGTGTCATTTACTTTTTGACAATTCTCTTATTTTAAGATTGCATAGAGTTCTGAATTAATTAAATGTTTAACATTTAAAATGCAGTATTTCAAACATATACATTGCTATATTTAAAATTTCTATACTTTTCTAAATAAAGACAATCTGAAAAGGACATGAGAAAAATCCGCCCAGATACAAGTGCCGCCATCCTGGAGAGACCAAATTAGGAAGAGAGCACTGCAACTAACTAACAGCATTATTCAAAAAGAGCAGCAGTAGGAAGGCAGAAGAAAGAATGACATGAGACCTCTTCCTGCAGCTGACTCAGGACTGCTCACCATCCTCATCCTCCTATACCTCACAGCTGCACATCTCCCACCCACTACTCATCAACTGCCTGGCATTGGGACTGGGGGGCCACTTACATCATATCTCGCTGACTGACAACAATATTTTCAACTCAACAACCATAAGTCAAGATGCTCTGCTGTTTCACAAGGTGTTCCACAGGGATCATTTCTAGGTCCACATATATCATTCGTCTCCCTCCTTCCCCTTGGCACTGTCCTCCCTCACTATAGGGTCCTCTTCTACTGCTATGTGGCTGACACACAGGTCTACATCTCCACCAAACCCAACATTGTCCAGCCCCCACCTCTCTCACCACCTGCCTCCAGGACATCAGGAGCTGGATGAAGCTCCATAACCCCCTCAACAAAGCTCAATCCTCCACCAATCCCAACATCATCATTGATGGCTTCTCCGTACCCTCAAGTCAAGAGCCTCGATGTCACTCTGGAGCTCCCTCTCCTTTGCACCTTACATCAAAAACATCAACCTCTCTTCCACCTATTTCCAGAGTCCGCCATACCTGTCTGAATCCAGCACTCAAATCCAGGTCAAATTCATTTGTCACTTCCCGCCTTGCAATGCTGTCTCCAGCATCCCCCCCTAACTTCTTAACAAGCTACAAATGATACAGAACTCTGCTGCCCGGATCATCACCCGCACCAAATCAACTCACCACATCCTCATCCATCTACACTGGCTCCCTGTTAAATACTGGACCAAATAAAACAAATGATCCTAATCACCTACAAAGCCCTCCACAACTTGGCCCCGACCTATCTCATCGACCTCCTTCAGGAAAAGTAATTTATTATTATTATCATCATTATTATTATTAAGGGGCAAAAAGGATCACACCATACCTGCCATTATAACTTTTCAACATTAGAGAAGCATAGAATAAATACAACGCAATGAATATAAAAAAACAAATACACTTATGTGTACAAATATCACCACAGCCTGGTGAGCCCCCCAGAGCGAGGTCAACACTCTTCACTGCAGCAGCATGCTCTGAGAGACGGCCAAGGTCAACGGGTGAGCACACATTTCATTTGATGTCCAGAGGCAGGCTGTCTGATGAACAAGCTTCTTGACGTTGGCCAGAGTTTTACAATAGATGTACTGGACAGTGAATGTGTCAGCGGGGAAATCAGGGGAAAGGTTTAGCCTGACTGTCAAAAATCAAAAATAAACCATCTCACCATAATATTTTGGAAATTACATCTGCTATTTTTCTGAAGACAGGAGATGATTTTCACTGTGAGTCTGGAAGAATCAGTGTGCTCTCACTTCTTCAGAATAGCTTTGATACCAAGGCCTTGTCAAAGTCTTTAATGATTATCTTTCTTTGTGATCTTTTAGGTGTAGTGCTTATTTTTATATGTATCCAATATATTTATAGCTGAAATGCTTTTGCTCTCTGCTTGCAACATGATTTTGAAGGTTTGTTAATATTAACTCCAGAGTGACATTGGACAGGAAACAGTACAGAGTCCAGTCAGAACATGAGCTAACAAGCAGCACCCTAACCCTCGGCAGGCTCTCAAAGCCACACTGCATATTTACTCAGTGTGTGTCTGTGTGTGTGTGTGTGTGTGTGTGTGTGTGTGTGTGTGTGTGTCCGGAATACACCGTGTACATGCCCTGGACTTTGCACCAGAGCTTGCACTGGACATGCAAAGAGAGAACAACAAGGACTGAATGTTCTGGAAAGTGAAGAAAGATGATAATGGCAAACAGTGAGTGAGCGAGAGGGCAGGGAGAGATAACAAAGAGCGATATATTCAGAGATCTGGACAGAGAGAGAGCTGTCACTGTTTGTGTTTCATGCTGAGGCTGATGGGGAAACAAGGCTAACTATCCAACTTATATAAAGCCTCACTCAGCAGATTCAGACTCAGCTAACCTACATTGCATCCTCATGGTCTCATCTTTATTCAGCCTGACACACAGCTCTGTCTCCGCTGAGCTGTGTTTACTGCTCCCTGCGTCTGAGGAGACGCAGCCTCCGTTTTTTTAGGAACAATAAGTATACAATTAATATACTTTCTGTCTTATTACCTCCCAACAAAAGTCTATGAATGTTTCAGATAAGCTGCCCTGTGTCTTTGGACTACACAGTGATTTGGGACATGGTTCTACTGTACTTGTAAATAGGTTGTAGGTGGCAGATAAAAAGTAAAAAATGTATCCATTCACTAATGATATTGCATTTCATTAAGCTGCTGGTTTTATCCAAAGGTACCTTCAATACCATAGACATTTGGAATACATGCCCAAGGACACTTTGAAATGTTGACCGCAGGGGCTGGGGATCGAACCACTGACCCACTGAGCGGTGCCTCAGTGGGTCTATGTTTGCCTATTTGACTCGTGGTTGCCCTCATCAGTCAGAATGTTGTTAGTAATTGTTAACTCAAGCATATCCTGTCTGGGTTGTTTAGAAAGAGGCTAAGAATGTCAATGGTTGAAATTCATGTTTTAGCTACTCTCACTAAATATCCACAATATTAAATAATGTTAGTTTTCACAAATTGCAAGGGGATTGGTGCATTGAAGATGAGAAATGAAGTGATGACATGACTCAATGTCAGCAACATAATAAACACAACATATAAAGACCACATATTAAACTCAAAGTCATACAAGCTCTAGGCTTCCGCCACAGCTACAACATCAACCCCCCAACCTGAGTAACTGAGAGCCTGCAGAGTCCCTGTGAGGCTCTTAACTACCATAAATAACATCATGTGACTCAGCCATGAAGCCAGTCAGCTTCTATCAATCAACTAAAACCAAACCAACACCCTTCACTAAAGCACAGCGATGCAGCCAAGGAACAAGTTCAAACATCAGTAAATCCTTCTTTTGCAATAAAGGTCACATTGCACAAGGATGAGTCTTCTATGGTTAGAGCAACAGACAGCCCTCCAATCCCCCTGTTTTACAACATGTTTTACACTTTCCGACCTACTGTTCCTACTTACCGTATTCATTTATTAAGGTTTGGCCTAAACATAAAAAGCAATATGCACTTATGATGAAATGCAATTACACACAGACCTCCCAGCACCCTGCCCCTCCACTAGGATGTTACTGACCTTAAAGGCAAACCTGCGGGTGATGTTATCCGAAGGCTCCACTCCTCCGACTCGGAAACTGAGCAGCGGCAAACTCCCTAACACTGTGTCCTCGTTTTCATCTGTGGAGGGAAAAATCAAAGTGAGGAATCATCCCAGAAAGAATGAGAGGAACAGAAATACCATCCAGAGCACGGCTACAACTACTGTGAGAAAAATAGCAATTACAGGCTGTCAGTCAGTTCATTGAACCTGCAGGAGAAAAGACAGGCAGACAGAGGAGGAGTGTTCACAGTCCAAACATGAGAGAGCAGTCCAAGCAGCTCTCCTCCCAGCACACTCTCTGCTCCCACGGTGACAGCTTCCTAGAATAGATATCCATTATGGTCCGAGGGTCCCTCTGATAAGCAGCGGTAATGGCTCACACACACACACACACACACACACACACACACACACACACACACACACACACACACACACACACACACACACACACACACACACACACACACTAGGATCCAGCGCGATATGCAGCAGTGCAGTAGAAGGGGGCGCACCATCTGACTGAATAATTGAAGGAGGTATGAACATTTCCGCAGGTTGAAAGGGATACACTCCTCTCTGTGACCTCCTACCTCTTATTTTCCAAACGTAGCCCCGAAACAACGCTCTCTGCAGAGTGCGTTTGTGTGTGGGTGTGTGACAGAGAGAGAGGGAGAGAGGGAGAAGGAGGGGAGAGAGAGCAAATGAGGGAGAAAGGGAGAGAGAAGAGATCTGGGTAGGGGGAAGGGCTTGTGCAATCATACAATACCCTGATCCATGCTCTGTGTGTGTGTGTGTGTGTGTGTGTGTGTGTGTGTGTGTGTGTGTGTGTGTGTGTGTGTGTGTGTGTGTGTGTGTCGCGCGACGTGCATGCGTGTGCGTGTGTTTGCAGGAGGATAGATCAGGCCCATGATGAGTCAGTGTTGCAGGAATCTCGGGCACTCGGCCAACTGTAAGTGTTGCAGGAATCTCGGCACTCGGCCAACTGTACCTGCTGCACCATTGACACACAAACAAAAACACACACACACACACACACACACACACACACACACACACACACACACACACACACACACACACACACACACACATACAGACAAATGGACAGCAAGTAAATATAAACACGTCTCTCTCCTGTTCATGTCTCCCTCACACATTTCAATGATTTATTGATGGCTGTATTTATAGACAGCAGCCATGAACATGCCTTTCCTTTGACTATCTGAACTGAAAACACAATTCAGCATAGGGACTTCAAATGATGAAGAATGACATAAAATAATCATATATATTATGTTATTTTTAAAACTGAGTATCTATCCATGCAGATACGTTTGGTCTTAATTCTCCACATCGGAGATAATAGTTACAGCTCCGAAATGTATTAAGAATAATTGAAAATACACTGTGGTTTAACATATTATTATAGTATGCGGTCATGCGGGGGCTGGAGGCTGCTCCATGCTCAGCCACAGAACATCCCACACCTCCAGTGTTCATCCTCTCCTCTGGCACACCAACAAGTATTTTCAGAGGGATTCCCTTCCCCAGCGCAGGTGAAGCTGAAATCCTCAGCTAGAGACATAAAACCAGTGCCACTATGCTCCAGTTATTGTAAGGTTCACTTGGCTCGGACTGTAACTAGGCTCCTCCAAATCTCATCACCCACAACAAAAAGTGTTAACTTCATAATGTGTAAAGTTCTAGGACTGTCAAACTTAAGAGGAGGTGTGGAAATATTGGCTGGCTCAGGACTTTTCAGAGTTGGCTGCAAGAAATACAGTTCATTTTTTATTTAACCTACTTTAGGATTTAGAAAATGGCAAACAAATGGTTTGGTTCTGATGATAGCGATGGAGAGGACAAACAGACAGAGGAACGTTATCTGCTGGAGGAGCATGAGAGGACGACGAGGAGAGATCGATTTCCAATAACAGTGTAAGCCACAGAGAGGCTGTAATGTGTGTTTAACAAATGCACACAGAATCACAATGCCTCGGAGACAGCCTGTAAAACATAACCAAGACAACAAAAGTCCTGTCCCTTTTCTCTTGGTGCCCATTTCTTGGCCCTCGGTCTCTGCTGGCATAGTAATCACAGTGGTAAACTGCATAGTCACAAATTATTCCCCCATCTCTCCCTCTTTCTAAGCCTTCTTGTTCAAAACACAGCTGGACCAGGCAGACATCGAGCAGGAACAAAACAGACGTGTTCAGAATAAAGAGTGCAGCACAGGAGGAATTTACTTCACAACATGAGAGAAAAGAAAAGCATGGGCATTAGAAAGCAAGTTTAAGATCAAAATCTTAACCTGAAAAATATAGTTAAACGTTTCCAAGAGAATGAAAGATAAAGAGACAAAAAACTGTGCATTATATCTGCAGTAAATAAACATATTTTTCTTCCATTGTTCTAGTCTATCACTGTTTTCTTTGCACATCTTCTGGGACTCTGTTGGTTTTAAAGCTGGACTCCTGCATAGGGTTATTGCTCGTGGCTCTGATGTAGAGCACAAGCAGAACGGACAGCAGCTAACAGAGAACAGACCCACAGTGTTCTTGAGTCATTGTGATCCTGGAATCCTCTTCACACAGTGGCAATTTCTCCCGAAGGCTGACAATAGCTGTCTTTTCAGACCGTGATGTCATTTTAATAAAAAAAACTACGTATTTTAGTTTGGTTAACTCTTCTGTGCTGCCCTTTCTCCCCTTTTGACATAGAATATTTTACCGAGAGTGAAACAACGCCCCTCTAACTGTTATGCTGAATGGTGGTGAATCACGGTATTGCAATCCGTGTTTCACCACCATTGGTGCCCTAAGAGTGAGACAGGTCATGTGACCTGTCTCACTCCTGACCCCCTTAAAGACTCAAAAACAACACGGAAAATAAATTGTTGGAGCTATATAATGCCTTATATTATTTAATAATTAAAGATGTATTTTGTAGCATGTGTAGCTGTAATTAAACTAGTGATGTTCAGAAGAACTAGGAACGACTAAGGAGCTCAATGTGTCTGAAAAACAACACTGAAACAAGGTATGCTTTCCAAAACATTTGTATTCAAGATATCAACACGTTATCACATTCACATGATTATTTTTCTGGGGTTGTGCCCAGTAAAGGCAAAAGACGAAACAAAAAGGTTCCCGGGGTAAAGTTCATTCATTTCCGTTCGTTACGTTAATTTCAGTTCGATCCTACCACAGACACCATGTGGCAGGGAGATTAGGTTTATTCCAATCTTAGCTCGCTATCAAGGTCCAGAAAGGTCATCAGGTGCGGCAAGCACCTGGCAAACAAAACATATCCGCACAAAAAAACCTGACCTGTAAAAGGTCACAAGGAATGATTAGTTTCTTTCCTGATGCATGAACGACCAATACCTACACTCTTCCATGAGTGGGGTCAAAAATGACCCCAATTAGAATCAATGTGTTTTTGCAATGAATTAAAAAAAATGTCTTTAATTTTGGTTAAAGGTGATTATATTTATTATATTCGGGTCAACAAAAGACTGATTTTACATTTAACATGCTTATTTATAACTTTTTATAAAAACAATTAGATAGCTACATATTATATGTAAGTAAAGGCACAGCCATGCATGTGTACACACACACACACGCACACAGCCACACACACCCACACCCACACACATACACACACACACACACACACACACACACACACAAATCAATAATCATATAATAGGTTACCTAACAGGTTAGCTTTTATTAGAAGGAATTATGAATACAGTGAGTTTCTACACAACAAATGCAGTAATATCAGCTGGCTTACTAAACTAGTGTAATGTTAGCTAGCTTAGTAAGCTAGTGTAATGTTAGCTAGCTTAGTAAGCTAGCTAACAGAGTACTAACATTACTACTAACATTATTTAGCAGTTAGCTAACTAGTGTCTACTTTGTTGACCAACATGATACTCTATCACAGAAAA